GGATAAAGAGGATGAAGATGGATGGATGGTTTATTCGGTCTTGTCTAACGTTGGTCTTCTTCCCATGGACAAAGCTCTTGTTGACATTTTCCACCAAAAGCAAATTCAGGCTTTTGGACTTACCTCAGACCTAGTCATTAGTCAATTGTTCAATTACTTGTGAGTCTGTGAAAATGGAGAAACGATAAATATCTGTAATCATAAATGGAGTGTTTTTATCATTTTTGAATTAAAGCTCAAAGACTATCAATCACATCTTAGCTATTACTAATTTAGAATAGAGTAGAGCAGACCTAATTGTATTATGAGAGTATGTTCACACTGCTCTTTCAGCATAGAGGGATTTGCTTTGCCATCTAAACCCTTAGAATACACATGGTGTGTTGAGGAGGTGTGGTGGCCCACAGATAACACACACACCTTCACTACAGGAGAGTCGCCTGGCTGCCGTACCGAGTGCTGTGATCACTGCCAAATATAGATGAAATAGCATAATTAAAGCTGCTTGTCTATATGTTAACAGTATCAGAAATGTATTTAAACTCGAGCTAAATCAGTTCTAAAATCAAGTGATCATAAAAAGTAATCAACACCAGGCTTGGATTCATACATGGTAGAAATATCCTAAAAACCACAGCTGGTCTCAAAAATGCTGCTCTTCCACCTCAAAAATATTTATGCCCAAAATGATGAATAAGTAATCTGATTACATGTACTGTTGTAAAACATTTTATTCTGTTACCAGTGTTCATACATTTAATCACCAGATCACCACAGAACTGGTCAAATGAAATGTACTTGACTGGTATACGTTCAGTTTGTACAAAGCATATGTTCCATAATAATTAACATAAATAAATTAAATAAATTAAATTAAATAAATAAATCTTTAATTTTATATATATTTATAATTTTATATATTACAGTTGTGTTGCTTCATGTCATCCAAGAACCAATTTTTTGAGTACGTAAATCTTTAAAAATGGCCAAAATATGTAATTTATCCTTTTAAAAGCACTTCCTCATGGAGTAATACATATTTGGTTGCCTAGCAACAACGATGATGAGATTGATGTATGTGGGACTGACTCGAAATAAAACGTGTGTAACATGAACCAGTATACACAGATGGTTCCGATACTTTCAGATAATCTTCACGGGGTTTATTGACAGTAGAAAAATAGGTGAATAGTGCATTACCAGCCTTGTCCTTTATATAAGGGTACCAAATAAAACATTTAAGCCCTCTTTACTGTCACATAAATGCATGAAATCAGGCTAAAACTCGCTGCTTTGGTTTTCTGTTACTCATCTAAAGCTCTGATTTGTGATGTGATGGGCTGCAACTGGTACAGTGCACACTGTTTCCTGGAGCTCTGAGACTTGTGCCAGAATAATAAGGGGATCATGTATGTAAATAATACATTTAAACAAGTAGGAGGATTTCTTCAATAAAAACATAAGCCATATTGAGGCCAGATTTGTCCCTGTTTGACTGGAACACGACAGTAAACAACAGTGTTGGAAACAGCATGTGCTCTCTTCTGTTCTACCTCTGTTTGCCTAACTCGAATGATGATATCAGCATAACTTATAATACAAGTTAGAACATTTTAAAAGTAACAGGTTCTCTTTATGTTTGGAGAGCTGATCATAGAAAATTTGGTCTTTATAGTAAAAAATGAAGTTTGCCAAAAACATTTTTGGCAAATCTGATAGAAGCAAACAATTTAGTGCCAACACAAACGGGGCCTATTTGGAAATCACTGAAATAAGAATAATAAATCAACAGCATAAAGAGTGCATGGAAAGCATTAAAGAGGCACTACTGTCTGCTTTTGAGCTCTGCTTTTAATTTGTTTTTGTTTAGATTGAACTGTCAAATTGAGTATGAATGCCTATCAACAGCTACCATGAATCACATCTGATCTCCTCAGAATTATCCAATGATCCTTCTGATCCATGCAGGGCACGAGGATTTTGAAGAATACCTTGAGGAACTAAAATTGTTAAATCAATGATTTGTCCAAATTATATATAAAACATGTGGACTTCACTGTTGTTTTTAACTTCACAGTCAAGCTAAACAGGCAACGATTCAAATATATTAGCAAATAATTATTGACTTGAAAGGAATCATGGCTCTCACTGCCTCTCACCCTATGACATCAAGGATCGTCTAGGGCAGCGATCCCCAACCTTTTTGTGTTTATGTCCCACAATATTTTCACGGACCGGCCTTTAAGGTGTCGCGGATAAATACAAAAAAATGTGTTCTGACAAAACACCCCACCTATCAAGTAACTTGTTGTTACTGCGCATGCGCACAACTCGAAACGGCCATGATTTGTGTG